AGGCTGCAGTCCTTGACCCTCTGCAGCAAGCGCTTCAGGTCCTCCTCAGTTTCAGCAAGCAGGGTTGTGTCATCTGCATATCACAGATTGTTGATGGATCTTCTACCAATCTTGACCCCACATTTCTCCCCATAGAGCCCAGCCTCCCAGATAATCTGTTCTGCATACAGGTTGAAAAGGTATGGAGACAGGACACATCCCTGAGAACACATGTAAAATAACAGAAAGGGCAAATGAGGTTGAGTGTCGGAGAGGAGTACTAAATCTCTATCTCATGTCACTATCAAGGGAACAAAAAATGCTTTGGAGAAAGTACAGCCAGAGTGTTCCTTGGCAAAGCCGCTCACATACTTTGGGGATACTTTGAGAAGGGGCCAGTCCTTGTGACGGACATGATGTTTGGACAGATGGAAGGTCAGTGAAAGAGAGGAAACACTCTCAATCAGAAGGACTGGCACAGCAACTGTAACAATAAGTATATCAGAGACGTTGAGGATGGCACAGGGTAGGGCAAAGTTCAGATCTGTTATGTGTAGGGTTGCTGTGAACCGCACTCAACTTGATGGCACCTAATGTGAAGAAGAAATATGTAAAGTCTACACTAACATACACAAGAATTATGTCAGACAGGATGTCTTAAAAAGAGGCAGGAGGCCTTCAAGAGAAGGATGTTTTTTAAACTAGAAGGTGATACACTGGCACTAAAGCACAATTGGGGAGAGGTGGAATAACATCACTCAACATGTGTCCCTTCCCTGCTTAGTCCATTCCTTTACTCAGATTTCCCAGATGCAGTAGTGCATGTATCTCCACCCTAAATACCAAAGACTATTCTCTTTGATATTCACTTAAGTTCTTTATGAACAATTCTGAAGAGTTTATTCCCATCATGAAGTTTCAGGCAAAGTGCTGAGCCACAGGTGTCTAAAAGTGTGCAATTGTTAAGGTAGAGCTGTCAAGAGTCCAGCTAAGCAGCAGTGAAAGTTCTCCATTCCTTATCCTCCTCTCCTTTCCAGGAGCTCCAAACTAGGGCTCAACATACTTGTTACTTTATTTTAACTGGTGATCTGGCGAGTAAAGAGCTGTGGAATCCGAAAGACTGAGAGCTTGAATCCAAAAGCTGCTCTCGGGAAAAAGAATGGCAATCTCCTTTCTGAACACTCGCAGGAGGGTCAGCTATGACAGCACTGAGACAGACATCCTTCTCACCACTTTCACCACCTACTTGTCTTCCGTGAGACTCTTTCTCCAACTCAAAACAGGTACATCCAAGCAAGTTCCAAAGCCTCCGTCAATACAAAGCCCTAACTAAAAAACGATCCTTCTTCCCAACTCTCAACTCAGAAGGCAGAGAAGGCTGCCCGGTCCCCTGAACAAAATGGGAAGACCAAGCAGGCGAGTGTTAGGGGAAAACTTTTGCCCAGCCTCTCACCCGGCCCAAGGGGAGGAGGCATAAAAACGTGTCCGGCCAGGCGGCTCAGGCAGTAGCGCTCCCCACGTGGATGCCAGGGGCGCAGACTCAACTCACCAGGCCGTCGATCTGCACCTGCTTCACGGCCGAGTCTCCGGTGGCCCCCTTGCCTTTGCCTTTGCCCGCGGAGCCGGCGGTGGAGCCGGAAGAAGCGGTGGGGCCGCCGGTGCCTTCCTTGCGGGACGCCATCTTTCCAGCCAGACAGGAAGAAGAGAAACTGACTAAGCGGAAGCGGAAGTACAGTCCCCGCGTGACATCACGCACAGGTCTGTTTAAGGCGAGTCGTGGGGGCGTGGTTAGCACGAGCCCCGCCCACTCAACCGCTGCCGGGCGGGATCCTTTGGGCATGTGCGGTGGGCAGTTGTCATCCTTATCATTTGTAGGTTTCTGTATTTGCTGATCAGTCTCACAACCTTCAGTTACAGCCTTTGTTATGGTTTACATCACAACATCAGGAAAACAAATGTTCTCACCTCTGGACTAACAGACAACAGTCAGATAAAAGATTAAAGTTATCAATTATTTCACCTTGCTCGAATCCACAATCAACATCCTTGGGTGATGTTGTTACATGCCATTGAGTTGCCTGCGACTCATAAGGACACTATGTATAGCAGCTCTGAAGCCTTCCCTGCCCTAAGCCAGGCTCACTGACTCCAACACACCTACCCACATTGCCCCAGTTACTGTATCAATCATTTCATCCCGAGTGTTCCTCTCCTGCACTGTCCCACTATCCTTCCAAGCACGATGGCTTTCTCCAAGGACCAATCCCTGCCAGCCACGCGCCTAAAGTATGTGATATGGAGCTTCAAAATTCTAACATCCAAGTTTCACCCTCTCCAAGACAGACTTACCTGTTTTCTTGGTGATCCATGGTATGTTCAATACTCTTCTCCAGCACCACAACTCAAAGACATCTATTCTGTCATTCTTACTTACTGTCCAGCTCTCTGATGCAGAAGGTTGAGGACTCTAGTCTTCAATATAGATTGAAGTTCAACATCAAGAAGACAAAGATTCTCACCATTGTACCAATTGGCAGCACCATGATAGAAGGAGAAGAGATTGAGGTTGTTAACAATTACAGCTTGCTCAGATCCACGGTCAACACTCTTGGTGCCAGCAGCCAGAAAACCCGAAAGAACGAATTGCACTGTGAATATCTGCTATCAGAGAGACCTCTCCAAAGTGGTGAAGTATAACGATGTTAGGTTAAGGATGAAAGTGAGCTTTTTGTCAGACATGTTCTTTTTAATTGCTTCTTATGCATCTGAAAGTTGGACAGTGAATAAGGATAACAGAAGAGCCAATGCCTTTGAGTTTTTATTTTGAAGAAGAGTACTGAATGTCCCATGGACTGACAAAAGAACAAATGAGTATATCTTGCAAAAAGTGCAACCAGGGTCCTCCTTAGAGACAAGGATAGTTAAATGTCGTCTTACATACTTTGGGAATGTTGGTAGGAGGGAGCCAATCTGTGGGAAAAAATATGCTGAGAAAGGTGGGAAGGTAAGTGAAAGAGAGAAATATGAATTGATACAATGACTGTATTAATGAATTAGAGTGTACCAGATATGATGAGGATGACTCGAGAAGATTGAAGGATGGATGAAGCAAGAACGAAAGTATGAAAGATGGTTCAGGCAGGATAAAGCAAGCTTCAGATCTGTTGCTTTTAGAGTTGCTATGAGTCGTAATGAACTCAGCTGCTCCTAACAACAACACCTCACCAATGAAACACAGATCAGCATAACTCACAGTTTATCCATCATCTTCATTGAATGCTGAACTGTTGTTGTTATTGTTGATGATGTTGTCTGCCATTTAGTTGGAAGCAACCAACAGTTGACCCTCCAGCAGATTCTTAGAAGCAATATAAATTGCACAGGAGGAGACAGCCTAGCCTTCTCCCACAGAGTGGCTGGTGGATTCAAACCATGTACCTTTAGGATCACAGCACAATTTCTTACCACTAGGCCACCAGAAGTTCCCAATGTTGTTGCTATTGTTGTTATATTCAATCAAGTTGACTAAAACCATCTGCAACCTTATGAACAGTAGCTCTGAACCTTGCCCTATCCTGAGCCAATCTCACTGTCTCTGACACACCTACCCACATTACTACAGTCACTGTGTCAATCCATCTCATGCAGAGTCTTGCTCTTCTGCACTGTCCCTCCACCTTCGCGGCATGATATCCTTCTCCAAGGATTGTTTCCTCCTGGCAACATGCCTGAACTACGTCAGACAGAGCTTCAAAATTCTTGCCTCTAACGGGAAACCTGGTTTCACCCTCTCCAAGACAGAGTTGTTTATTCTCTTGGCAATCCATGATATGTTCAATTCTCTACTCCAGCACTACAAGTCTAAGGGATCAATTCTTCTTCTATCAGCCTTAGTCATTGTCCAGGTCTCTGATGCATAACAAGTAACTGCCAAAACTATGGTCTGGATCAGGTGCACCTTAGTTTCTAGACTCACATTGTTGCTCTTCAGCCCTCTGGAGAGGTCCCTGACAGCAACTTTCCCAATACAACTCATCTTTTTATTTCCTGACTGCTGGTGCCAAGAGTGTTGATAGACATCTTCATCTTAATTTCCCAACTGAGCTCCAGATACAATCATTTTGCCACAACAAGAATAAAGTTTTCACATAGATTTTCCCATCTCAGTTGATAATAACTTAGTAGCTCCAGTCTTATAGTTGATATAAGCCAACACCCCTGGTATCATCCTTGACTCCTCTGTTGTCCTTAAGCCCCATTTCTGATCTGGCAGGGAAGCTATTAAAAATGTGTCCAGAATCCATAGTTTGTTGTGCAAAGACAGAATAGATGTAGTTTACCCTATTCCTTCTGGTAAATAAAACTAATTAAAATAAACCTAGGAAGGCTCTGAAAAAGTGGAAAGAGGAACAAACAGTAGGAACTTTGAATGCTCTCATGACCCAAACAACGACTCAGTGGTGGTTTTTTGGCTTTTTCATTTGCTTCAAATATCAAGAATAGGAACAGATTGTTGACAACCGGTAAATACCAACAAGGTAACAAAAATATCCTCCAAAATGCACCTCTTATCTGCCCACAGTCACTGGAGATCATGAGGGAGTCCAGATTTCCACCATCATTTGACAATAGTGAGGTCTACCTCCCATTGCCCATTGGAGTGGTGGCGGAAGAGACTTGCTGGAGAGTCAGGATTCCACAAAGGCCGAGCTGTGATGGATCTATCTCTCCTCTGACAGCATGCCAATGTGGAGAACAGTAACAAGACACTCCCATGTCTGCCAGGCAGGAATTATCAATGGAGGCTTAGTGGGCAGTCAGAACTCCCACCCACCCACAGAATCTAGAGGATAACCCTGGGGAAAGTCGATAGAAGTCAAGTAAACCTAATTTCAAAATGCAATAACATTTACAACCCCTCAAAAAATAGCTACATAATTGGAAGAAAATGTAATAAACAATTACAGGAATTGTATGCTGAAATAAACAAACCAAAACCATTACCTCCCCCAAATGCACAATTTCTATGTAGCAGCTCTGGTGGCTTAATGGTTAGGAGTCAGGCTGCCAACCCAATGGCACAGGTTCAAATCAACCTTGGAAAACCTGTTGGAGGGGTCACCTATGATTTGTTTCCTACTTGTTGGGACACAATAACAACAACATGTAAGGAAACATTGTTAAATTTGGCCTCTTTAAGATCATTCTACAAAAGTATATTCTATTAAACACAAATATTCTCGTGTCTATCAAGAGCAAAGCCAAAGTTAGTCTAGTTTTACTGAAAGAAAAAGATTGGTAATTCATATGTGTACTCAAATGATTTGTTTTTATGTACCTTTGAGTCAGAACCGTCTCATAGCCAACCCTTCAATGGATTTTGGTTGTTATTGTGTATCATCAAGTCAGAACCAACTCATAGCTGACCCTTCAGCAAGTTTTCAGAGTCAGTAAATTGCATGGGAAGAAACTGCCCACTGCATCTGGTGGATTTGAACCGTATACCTTTGCTTTGACAGCACATCTCCTTGCCACTAAGCAACGAGAGCTCCCTTCATATTCTCAGCACTTTATATACTTGAAGTTGCTTTGGTTTCAAAGTATCTCAGAAGTGAAACACAGTGTACTTCCCTGACCCATCCTGGCTCTCTTCAGCCTGGGGCAGTGAACCTCACCTGAGAGTACCAATAAAAGCTTCTTTGCTTACTTTGAAAAAAAAATAAGTGAAGGACAGATCTGCTCCAGTATTTTTCTTTTCATTTTAAAACAGTGATAAGGGCAGTGATGTAGCATTAGCTAGCAGAGAAACCACAATAACATGGAGAAACATTAGACTCAAACTCCAAGCCTAATATTTCAAAAATTCATATATCATTTTTTATTTGGACATTGTACTATGTCTTAACCATTTGGAAATGACTATTGGCAACATAATGATAGAGGAGGAAGAGATTGAGGTTGTTAACAATTGTATCTACTCGTGTCCACAATCAACACGTTTGGCACGAGGAATTGGGAAATCAAAAGACAAGTTGCTCTGGGAAAGTCTACTGTCAAGGATCTCTCCAGAGTGCTAAGGAACAATGATCCTTCTAGAGACTAAGGTGTGCCTGATCCAAGCCATGGTCTTCTCAATTACTTGTTATGCACCTGAGAGCTGGACTAAGGATGATAGAAGAAGAATCAATGCTGTGGATTTGTGGTGCTGGAGAACAGTATTGAGCATACCATGGACTGCCAAGAGAACAAACAGCTCTATCTTGGAGAGGGTGAAACCAGGTTGCTCCTTGGAAACAAGGGTTTTGAAGCTCTGTCTGACATACATTGAACATGTTGCCAGAAGGGGGTGGTCCTTGGAGAAAGACATTATGCTTGGAGACATTATGCAGAATCAGCGCAGGAGAGGAAGACCCTGGATAAGATGGATTGGCACAGAGAAGTCAGAGACAGTGAGATTAGGTCAGGATAAATGGCAGGATTCAGAACTACTGTTCATAGGGTCTCTGTGAGTTACAGTTGACTCAACAGCATGTAACAACAACTACAAGACATGCTAACTGGAAGGTCTTAAGTATATTACCAAGAACTTTGTGTAAGAAATGCTAAGGTCATTTTGGGTTTTATCAGTGCTTTTATTTAGCTAGCCTGATTGTTAACAATTGTTGACTCAAACGTGAGAAAATGAAGACATATGCTAACATATTTGAACTCATAAGCTGAATAATTGCATTAGTTGTATCTCTGCCCTTCAAAAACATACTTTGAGAGTGTGAATACTGATTTTATTCTTTCTTTTGTGGCATAAAAGAACTTTATTCTATTTCCCCAAAAATAC